TCCCGAAACGAAAAAAGTCCAGAATCGACCCACTCTGCTATATATACTTATGTATATCAATATAAGGGTGTACACATAATTCAGTTAAGCATATGTGCACTGAGGTCAATATGTCTGCATGTAAGAACTTGTTTCGGTTAACCTAAGCACAAGCACAAATTTAAACCATATAACTGTCCGCTAAAATAGTTTATAAAGAGAGATAAAATCGAAATTCGCGTCGAAGCAAGCCTAACCTCGCAGTTGATAAGATTTACTAAAATTTATGATCGATAAAAACCGCAATCCCATCAATACCAAAAAAAATGTACCCTTGAAAGTAAAGTATACTATGTATACATTGAATGGAAYTTAGCAAGAATTATTAGGCATAATGAAAGGCAAAAAATAGTAAGACTTTTTATTTAAATTTTGCCCGTAAGCCCATTCGTCGAAATATTTTTTTTAGGTTAGTTTGACTGCGAGTGACATTTGTATCAAATGACACAGCTAACTAATCTTTAGTGTTTAGTATAAGCTTGCTTTACTGAAGTACGTAAAGTGTGTTCGGTGATTTTTACGATGAGTGAAAGCAAAGAAGTTCCATTAAGTTTTGTGTGCGGAATCCAATTTCTGCTGCCGAAACATTCGGAATGTTGGAAAATTGGTGCTTGAGAATCAATGATTAATAGTCAGAAATCTTACTTRGAATATCGGAAGGATCAGTGAAAGTCATTTTGAAAGCTAATTGGGCCTAAAAAGGTGAAATCACGATCGATTCCAAAATCACAAAATTTTTTCGAAAAACTGTGGTGCTTTAACATCTGTGAAACGATGCTTTCCGACTACCAGAATATCACTCATCCTATTATTACTTGCGACGAGTCTGCAATCTATGCTTAGGACCCGGAAACATACAACAGACAGATCAATCGGCTGAATATCGTGGMAAAATTGCAAAAATCAAAGTCATCTTGGTAGTTTTCATCGATTATAGAGATRTGGTGTGCTCCGAATTGTTTACGACCGGCCAAACTGTCAACGAACTCCGTGAAATAATTGTGATGTCCGTGACCGTTAACCATGAAGTATTTATGTACGTGAAATAGACGGGTATTCCATCGCTAATAGCTTTGAGTTTTGAACACCGAAAACAAAGTTGCAGTTAAAGTTACTACGAAGAAACTGCCTTCCATACTTTAATTTTCCGCTCGCGTGCTATAAAAGTTAACTACTCAAAGCAAGAACTCAAAAGAATACCTCTTTAATAACTGGTATAAAATATTACTTTTCCTAATTAAGTCAATCTATTTAGTTTATGTATATGTATATACCAATCGAACAAACAGATTTCTCACTCTTMAAGTTCAGGCGAATTGAAGCTAACTAATTTTAGTTGATTTATAGCAATTGACTTATCAGAAATATCACTCTGTCGGGTTAAGCGAAAGAAACCAACGTATCTTAAGTAATTTATAACACTTACTTGTTCCGTTAATCACACTCAAAGGTTAGCCGAAACGAAGTCTACTAATTTTAACTAATATACATCAGTTTTCTGTTCGAAGTGTCTCTTTCAAAAGCTAGGCGAATCGGAGCCAACTAATTCTATTTAATTTATCCTAGTTGCTSGTTCGATTTACCACCAATATTTCGCTATTCGCAAGCAACTAAATTTAAGGAGTTACATAGGTTTACGAGTTTAAAAAATCGAATATTTTTATTTTTTCATTAAACTCTMCAACTCTTCTAGAAGTTGTTCCTAAGTTTTCAAGTTACTCCGAYTAATAGTTTTGGAGATACATTCTTGRGAACTTGTSTGCTCGAGGCTAGCTAGTCTTTAAACGCGTTTTCGAAACTRTGTGTTTGAAGTCGGTTGGCAAGATTTCTCGAGAACTACTCAACCGATCTTCATGAAATTTTACATAGGTCTTCGAGATACACTTCTTACAAACTTAGACAAAAGACTTTTTTTTCGATTACAACTATTTGACATAAAAAAATTTTCACAAACATCTAATTTTTTCTAAAACACGTATTTTTTATTTTAGATGATCCTGTAAGGAGTTATATTAAGTGGTCACCGGAAATGGCATCACAAAGACCAAGTTTAAAATATTTTTTCCAAAAATTTAAGAAGTTCTTTGTTAAAAGTGTATGTTTGTAACAATAAAAAATTCTAATAAAATATAAAATGTTTTTCTATGAGAAAAAGATAATTTAAAAATGTTTTTTTACCCGAGAAAACCTATGTTACGCCTTAATTAGTACCCCTAGTACACATGACAATATTTTCAGTCTCTGTGAGCCTATCACTAGAAGTCAGTGAGACAACTTTCAACGGCCAAGTTCAACCAATTATGATAAAAACCGAAGCGTTCTATAGCTTAAAAATACATAAGTGGAGGCGATTAACAAATCAGTATTTGATTGTTAAGAAATGATCATGCCAGGGCTAAAGGCAGCTAAAGTGATTTCTCAACAATGGCGTAGTCTAAAAGTTGGTTAGTGTCTCAAGTGTATCTTCATATAGACACGCTTCTACTTTTTTTTGCGTGTGCTTATGTGATACAGATATAATTATTTCGACGAGTCWATATCAAATAAGTAAACATTTTATGATACAGTTGAATTAAACAAATGTGAATGAACGTTATTTGCAATAGTGCGAGTGTCATAACAGTAAAATGTATGTCATATAGATAAAAAGGCAAAAAAAAAAACAAAAAAACCAACAGTAATAAAAAACTAAAATTTGACGCCTCTCAAACGGCCACTTCAAATTGCTGTGTACATACATAAGGCAAATGAGTATATACATGCATTGGTAGTAGTAAATTGCTTAGAATATTTGTTAACATGTAGAAACAATCATCATAGATTATATTAAATGAGGCCTTATTAACATGTTCTAGTAGTGTGTCGCCCAATCAGAAGTTCATTAGATACATTATCGGATCACTAATCATAAATTGTCCATATATACTTATTGTTCCTACAGAAAGATAAGAAGTCCGAACTCAACAGCAGGCTTTTAAAAGTCTATAACGCTCAATCATGCGTAGCATTTCGTTAATTGAGCTGCAGCTGTAAAGATCGCGAAATGTATTGCAGCAAGTTGCAAGTGTGTGTTTTGGTCCTTTTGGCCACATTGGCCCTTATTGGTCGTTGTGAAGCCGGTGTATACAGTTTGCCGCCAATAGATGATGAGAATCCTATAGCGCGTTTGATAAATGGTAGAATCGGCACCAGTGGTTCACCGAGAGCTGATCTCGATTATCGGCTACCAAACACCACCGAACCCGTACACTACGATGTTGAACTGACGACAAATGTGCATAATGGCACGAAGGCTTTCCAGGGCACAGTTAATATCGTTATTAAAGTGATCGAAGATACAAGGACAATCGTTTTGCATCAACGACAATTGAGCATCGTTAAAGTGACCATAAAAAATACTGATCTAGCCAATCCTGCTGAGGAAACTTTAAATATTTCGTATGAAGAAGAACGCGAATTTCTGAGTCTGACGCCAGCCAATCAAACGCTCACCTTCATCAAAGGCAGCAACTGGAACTTAACTATTAGCTACACGGGTGTTTTGCGTGAGGACAATGCTGGCTTCTACCTATCAACCTATACTAGTCTCCAAGGCCAGGAACGGTAAGTGGGCATATTAAATATTCAATTTATTTCGTTCAAGCTGATCACCTCGAATTTACACAGTTATTTGGCAACCACACAGTTTGAGTCGACCGATGCACGTCACGCCTTCCCATGCTACGATGAGCCAGCCAAACGTGCCACATTCAGCATTATCCTGCATCATGATCCTTCTTATAATGCCATATCGAACATGCCATTGGACGTAACCCTCAGCACGTAAGTAATTTTTAGTCTCATAGTTAATGTATAGTAAATATAATATCATCTTTACTGCGCCTAGGCCTGGCTATTCCGTCTTTCAACAAACTGTAAATATGCCGTCGTATTTGGTCGCTTTCATTGTGTCCGACTTTGAGTATACGGAAGGTGTTTTAAATTCGCGTGCCCAGCGCATTTACACACGTCCCGGCACAGTGGATGAACAAGAGTTCGCTTTGGTATCTGGTTTATTGCTGCTGCGTCGTCTTGAGGAATATTACGATGTGCAATTCGCACTGCCGAAAATCTATCAAGTTGGTGTGCCCGATTTTGCTGCTGGTGCTATGGAAAACTGGGGTTTGGCTACATATCGCGAAGAGTATATGTTGTATAATACCAAGAACTCAACCACGAGTACACAAACAAATATCGCAAACACTATTGCACACGAATACTGTCATCAATGGTTTGGCAATTTGGTAGCCATCAAGTGGTGGACATATCTTTGGCTTAAAGAAGGTTTTGCTACATTATTCTCCTGGCAGGCAACCGATGAGGTGAGTGCAAGCATTTTTRCATTACTCTAATCGTGCTTAATTTTACTTCTACTCGTTAGGCTTACCCTGAATGGGATGTGTATCAAATGTTCCTTACTGGCGACTATCAACGTGCACTAACCGCCGATGGTAAYGGTCAATTGCCTCCAATGACGCATTATGTGCAAACACCAGCGGAAATTTCAAGCCGTTACGATTCCATTTCATATTCGAAAGCTGGTTCCGTACTGTATATGTGGCAGAGCGCATTCCCTAAGAATGTTTTCCGTCAAGGCTTGAATCTCTATTTGACTTCAAAGTGAGTATGAACTATAAAATTGCTTACTACAGATATCTTGCTACATCGAAACAACGGAAATTGCATATCGAACACACAACTGGTATAAATAACCGACTGTTGCCATATAATCAGAAATCAAAAGAACGATAGCAGGTTTTAAAACTTAAGTGCGATACTCACATGAGAATGACTAACTTCACATATTAAATTCTTGATAAGATTGTGTACCTCTGTCATATAGAAGAAAGCGACTATGTCGATACTACAACAACAACACTTTCCCGCGACAGTTGGGTATACATAACCGGAACGGACCCGAACTTTTATCCGCTTGAATATTCTGCTGCTATAAGCGATCTTTGACTGATAGTCGAAAAAAATTATATATTTCAAGAATTTTGATCTCTTATCCAACTTATTATAACCCTAACTCTGGAATACGCTATTGAAGTGACAAGAAAACGTGGAAGATGTCCATATTTAATAATTTACATACTATAATTAGTTACTATAATTGGTCGACGACAAAAATTTAAATTTTTGAAAAACAGATTTAGTTATAAGCTGATCTCTCAAAAACTTCTTCTCTCATTCTATTCATTCTGAGATTCTCCGTTCTTTTAAACACCTTTTTAATTTTTTGATTTCATAATAATATATACTACTTTTATAATTCTCATTACTTAACAGCCAATTCAGTGCCGCTGATGAGAATCAACTTTTTGAATCGCTCGGCATTGCAGCCGGTGCCAATAACGTACCGATTCCAGCCACTATGCAAGATATGTTCGCTAGTTGGTCTCGTCAATCTACCTATCCGCTGCTGACCGTTACACGCAATTACAACGGCAAGTCATTCACCGTAAAGCAGGAAGCCTTCTACGAGGATACGAACACTAAATCGGATCAAACTTGGTACATACCCTTTAATTATGCGCACAAAGCGAATCCAGATCATCGTAATACCACCGCTTCGCATTTCTTATTGAAAGTCAAAGAGATCGAGGTCCACGACAATGATTTGGCAGCCGATGACTGGTTGCTACTGAACAAACAATCTACCGGTTTTTATCGCATCAATTATGATGAACAAAATTGGAAACTACTAAGTGAAGCGCTACAAACGCAAACATTCAAATTCGATCCACGTAATCGTGCACAGCTTATTTTTGACGCCTACAAGTTCAGTTCGACTGGACGCCTTAGTCAGGATATCTTCTTGAATTTACTWCAATACCTACCGAATGAAGATCAATATGCGCCATGGACAACAGTCTACTCCGTAATCGTTACTTTCAATACTTACYTGAATGGTGATGCGGATTATAAAAATTTCCAATTATTTATTCGTGAATTAGTTTCGAATATCTATGAAAAATTRGGTATCAATGACGTAAGCGGCGAACATCATCTCACCAAATCCGTACGTAGTATCGCCATTAATCTTGCCTGTATGGCTGGCATAGAGAGCTGTCTGCAAGAGACCAATAACAAATTGAAAGAACTCATTAATAATGGTGTAGCAATCGAACCAAATCTACAACGCCAAATCTATTGTAACGGTCTAATGCAATCCGGCGATGCCGAATTCACTTTCGTCTATAATCAATTAATGGCATCCGATGATCAGGCATTACGTCGTACGCTCATCGCATCGTTGGGTTGCTCAAGAACTGAATCACAATTGAAAAGCTTCGTGGACAGCTCAATTGATCAGTCCGCCGCGTGGCGTGTACAAGAGCGCATCACAATACTTAGTGCGGCATATTCGGCCAGCAATGTTGGACTTAGTGTAAGCATTGATTTTCTCAGCGAAAATTGGGAGGCTTATGGCAATTTGACGTCAGGTTTCGGTGGTGAGAATCCACTCAATACAGCTATGGTCGGCATGGCCGCATACGTGATCAATGAGGAACAGCAAAACAAAGTGAGTATGAATTGACAGTAGAATAGTAATATTTATTTTGAAAAATACTAAAATTAGATGGAATTGTCAATAAATAATTATTTGATTTTTTTTTTTTTAGTATTTTGCGCTGGTGGATAAGGTTAAGGGCAGCAATAAGGTGCAATCCAATTTGGAGGACGTCGTCAAGGCGCGCGTGCAAACTAATCTCGACTGGTTGAGCAACAATCGTGCTCCAATTATGTCCTGGGTGAATGCCAAGGTCGTTAAATCTGGCAGCGCGACACTCAGCGCATCATTGGCAACGCTGTTCACAGCGTTCACCGTTGTGCTGGCACGTTATTTTTAAAATGTTAGTTTAATAACTTGAAATGTGTAGATTTGTACATAATTGGCAACTCTTGGAGCAGAATTTGTGCGATTGAACCTAGTTTGTAAATATGATATTAAATAATAATAAATAAATTTTTAAACACAAAACAGTTTTTTTAAAGCATAAAGTATGTTTGATGGATTAAAGTGAATCCTACATTAGACATCAGTTTCTTATTGGCTGAAAAGTCGTAACAAAGTAAGTACGCTTCACAAACATTCATTGTGATCTTATGGACTTATGTATAATGGGATATGATCAAATTAAGCGTGAGAACTGCTCAGCAAAGTTCATAATTGCTCCTAAATGAGAGAGTATGCTTTGTAGCCACACACGCATCAGACGCTTGGRCACGTCAAACCAAATATGCTACACAATGTACAACTAACGGTATCCATAAAAGGTCTTATCAATGAATGGATAATGTGTACTTTCATTAACTAAGCAGAAATAATACAAAAACAAAATATTGAGCAGAATTTATTGGCCCACCAAATGACATTATAAAAATCATTTATTATTTTACGACGACCACAGAGTACACGCAATATTTGCAATTTACTGTTAGTCCGCAACTAGTAGAACATTACATTCAATACTTAATAAATTTGGTAATAAATATTCAATTCTTATCAACAAAATTCGTAATAACTAGTTTTCCTATCTGCAGCCGTAAAAATCTTAAATTGCACGCGTGATAATTGTAAATTCATTTGTTTTTCGATATTTCGTTTAGTTTTTATTAGTACCTTAAATTCATAAGATTGTGTTCTTTTTGACGATTTATGAAGATTAAGACTATCTTTCCGTGTATAGTTTATAAACACTAGGGGAGTTCGATAAATCACTGCTTTTCAAAGCAAAATGCTCACTTTACGGTTTTTTTTTTTTTTCTTTTTTGTAGGACCCATAATTCATGAATACTATACAAATATGGGGTTATATTTATCAAATTCATCGGTTTAACGCGAGAAGACTCTATGAGACCTTCCATCCATATAACTGATTATACCTTCACTAAGATTTGACATATGTATCTTGATATGCCATGAGAGCTTTGAGAATATTTCTTTTCAAAATAAAAGCGAMTTGCTTGACGCTAATAATTGGTCCAATCCACACCCCAACGTGCGCTAACTTTCTAACATTGACCTTCATTAACATTAAATTTAACGATAAAGATGTTGACGCAGACTCAAATGGGCGTGGCGACATCCACGGATATTTTTTTTAAACATGTAGTGTTCAATGATGAAATATTTTTTTTTTCGTATTTGGTCTTTTTGACAGCAGTTACTTGGTTTGGTATTTCAAAAAAAAACATCCTTACAGCAGAACAACATTTGCAGATTGCAATTTAATAATCAAAACGATGGTTCGGTCCACGCGACGTATGGTGCGCTTATCCCAATATKCGGTTGAAATAATCGCCAAGCAGAGTAGACAATTCAGACAACCATGGATTGGTATCATAAAATTATCTAAAGAATAATGGGATATAGTTWTCCTTCTAGGGAAGCAGTTACAGTTGTAGTGCTATACTCAATTCCWACTCTTACGTCCTCGCCGCGCATCCAGGAAACATGAGTATCCCTTGTGTAAGATGCGGTAACCAACCCGTGTGGAGCCTGGGGTTACGGCTAAAAYAGAGGAAGCTTCAACGGAGCCAATCCATAACGAATCGCTGAACTTTAAATGCAGCGTCTGTTCACAAAAGATACAGCCGCAGGGTGTCGGTCTTGAAACAAGCGACTCTCTATATAAATGTGTATAATGTGCTTRTGGTTAGCGTTTTTAATGCCAGTGTGAGCRAAGATGGCATCGTTGGYAAAACAGRAAATTCAGCCTCCATGGCGAAACCTTTCCAAATTCGTTGAGATCGATCGACTTCGCAGGAGCACGAAATATGGCTGTATGTAGTACTAGATTCYAGCATAYGATYTCSGGATCAAAAAATTCGAAAGATGTACGACATGTATCCAAAGTCAATTTGCACTCCTGCTCTCTAAGAGCACTCATGAACAACTCAGTGCAAAGGAACTGTGGGACTTTATTTTAAGCTCCT